CTTCCGCAAGGAGGCTCAAGCGTGGATATTACAGGAGCAGCTAAGAAATTCTTGTACACGGTCAGCCAGGGTTTTAATTTTGGATCGGAAGATGGCAGTCGCATCTGTGCAAGGACTGCTAAACCTTCATTAAGGTATATTCTGGCACTTTTTTGGGTGTGCCACCTACCCTGCACCAGGATTTTATCCAGGCTTTGGTGCTTCTGAAAAAAAGAAAGTTGCTCCTCCCCTTCTCAGGGAGTAGGGTCTAAAGCCCATCTCAGAAATGCCCAGCCCCTCTAGGCATTGGTTGAACAGGTGTCTCCACTTCGCTGGAGAAGGGGTCAAAGGTGTGCTCGGGGAAGCACGCTTCTTCCAAAGGCGCAACAGCTTCACGACAGGCTCGTACCCTAGTACGACACTCTCAGACGCCCCATGGCGTTTACCACCCTTAGTGAGGCCCAAGCTTACGAGGGCTTGCAAAGCATGGGGTCCACATTCAATGTGGGAGGACAGGAGTCCGAGGATTTCACCCGTCCTCAACATGGCATAGAAACCAATGAGGAGTGACATGGCGAAAGAGATCCATCCTTTAAAAATTGCCCATCCGACCATCGCGTGGAGGATATGTTCTGCTAAGGGCGGAGCACGACTTGGGATCTCGTTTTGGTGCCATGCTTTCAGGAGCCGCCAGGCTGCCGGAAGACGATGTCGAAGGCCCGGCTGCAAGTCTTGCAGTCCGGCGAGCGTATCACATGCAAGTCCACGTCCTTTTCCCTGAAACCAGAGATGCTCCAGGTAGTCGCAAACAAGTGGGTCCATCTTGTCACGGGAAGTGGGGAGAGCCAATCCTTCATCTCGTAAGAAAACCAAAAACTGATCAACTGCCGCATTGTACCGCTTTCGAGTGCCTGGTTGCACCGTTAAAGACTTAAGGCTGCCCAACTGCCGTCTCTGTTTTGCCCGCTCTGCTTCCGATCCTCCCTCAAGAATACGTTTAGGCATTCCTAAACTTGGTCTTGACACGCCCCCCCCCCACCGACTGGGCTTGTCGGCAGGGTTGGTGTCAGTCGACACGTAACCCCAAACCATCTGTGAGGAGGATGCCAGGAGCAGAGCGTTGATTCGGGACATCGTGCTCCGAAGTTTCTTGGAGCTCGTGCGTCCACGAGTGAGGGCATGGAGACAAACCAATGAGTCCGTTAGGTGCAACATGCGGTAACCAAAGTGCTTTTGCTTTTCCAGACGCCATCGCAAGGAATTCAAGATGGCACGCAGCTCCAGACAGTTGATGTGTTCTCGTCCTCGGGTCCAACGCCACCCCGACACGACTTGCCATCGCCAGAGGCGAGCCGGTACTGAGGCTCTCAACCGGTGGAACTTGACCAGCAGGGTGCTGGGCGTCGTCAACATAATGTCTTCTCCCTTGAGGGAAACCAG